CTGAGGAGGCCGCGGCCGAGTCAGGTGGCGTCAATGGTGGCGAAGAGCAGGGCACCGGCAAAGGGGAAGAAGAGGAGCCGGAGGAGCGCAGCGGGGACGAGACGCCGGGATCCGAGGCGCCGGGTGACAAGGCCGCAGAGGAACAGGGTGAGGTGCTGGCAGCGGAGCGCGGCTCCAACCTGCCGGGTGCGCCCTCGTCCCAGGCGCCCAGCCTTGCACCCCGGGGTCCGATCCCTTGTTCTCACTTGCCTGAAGTGCAAGGTTCCCTTCGGTGTTGGGTGGGATTCCCCAGGGGAGGTGGCTCTTATTCTCTCCGCACCCTTCTGGGCGGTTTGGCCGCCTCGGGTGGCCCCGCTCCGCAGGAGGGAGGTTCCTGCCTAACTGGGTGGGTTGGTGGTGGTGGATGGACGTGAGCGGTGTTGCATGCGAACGGCTCGCGAGCTACCTGTGGAGCAGCCCCCACGGCGCTGGTTACCGTGTCCTAACCCGAGAATGCACGGAGGCGTGGGCAGCCCCACGGACAGCCAGACCCACCGACTGTTGGGGGCTTTGGCCTTTGGGCTGGCTGCTGGCTTTTTCGCCATAAAAATGTGAAGCGGTAACTAAATCCGTCAGCGTTCGATCCGTCAGACAGACGCACTGTGGGATAGCTTGGGCCACGCAGAATCTGGCGATCTACCCTTGCTCCTGCGCAGGCAGCAGCAGGGCACAGCCAGTGGGGTGACGGCGTCGAGTTTAATAGTTAACTAGCGAAGAGAAGTCTTGTCCAGTGCGTTGAGAATGATAAGCCAGTTAACTGGCGGGGGCTTTTACCTGGCCTGTATTATGATGAAAATGTGATCTTCCCACTGAGTGGATGGGCGGGCATATCTGTAAATTGGGCGCACACTTAGCCTTTTACATTTCAGGCCCCTGATGAACTGAATTGAAAGGATTGAGGTGGTGGTGGATCCATCAAGTAACCTTGGGGAAGAGCATGTGGAAAGTTGCCCCCGGGAGTTAGTCACCTGCCTTCCTTTGAAGTAATTGGATGGTTTAGCTGATCCATAGCTATCTGTCAGAGTGAGGAGGACAACTAGAGCCGCTTCTAAGTCTTACTGTGAAGCGGGTTGCCGCCTTAGTTCCTGTCTTAATACATTGTTTGGGCTGCTACTTAGTATCGTGGTATTAATTGGAACCCATTCTACAATAATCACGTGCAACTTGAAGATTGTTTGCCTACGTCCTGGAACAATCCCATTACATAAGCTTTGACATAATGTGTACCCCAAATAGCTGATAAAAAAGGTTGAGGAAGAGGTGGAGGGAGGTATAGAGGGGATAAATGGCGATGGGGAAAAATAAAATAAAAAAGGTTAAAGAATAAAGGACTGCCTTAAATAATTATTTAAAAACCTTTGTATTGAAAACTACAGAGGCTTAAGGAAAAACTCCTGAGTTGTTTTTTCCCTCTAGTAAAGAATGTTGCTAAATATCTGATAGCGCCTTTCTGCCCCCAAATTATGTGCAGTAATGATGCAGAATTAAAAGATGTGCCTCTTGTGAATGAATGGTTTTGCTCTTGCAACTTTCAGTAAAAATCCATGATAAAAATACAGCTCTGTGTCATGCACCTGTATCCACTTGCTGTATAAATAAATCCGTGGATGGCTGTGCATTTTAAAGCTGGAAAGGCAAACTCCTTGTTTTTCTAAATTGAGGCTTCTATATCATGAAGCTGTGGGAAAGTGTTGGAAAATATAGTTTGTGTCTAGCTTAAATCCAAATCTGACCATCAAAAATCAAAATTAAATTAACCAATGAAGTTTTTTTTTTATGTCATATTGTTAGGGAAAGCTGCAAGTTTGACCTGATTTAAGCAGATAAATTTAGAATGCAAAAATTGTCCAATTTTTGTCTACGGCTTGACTGTAATTAGCCCATAGTGTACTTTAAAAACATAAATACAATTTCAGCCAATGTAGGAAGATGATCTTTGGAAATAAAACGTTCTGTGGATGCAGTGGGATTAACTTGGCTATTCTGATGAGACAGATACTCAGATCCCCCTTTAGTATCTGTTGGTTCTGAGCTTATTCTACACTCCAATATGAAAACTGCTGATTTTCTTTCCCTCCTTTTTGTAGGAGATGACCAAGATAGTGAAAAGTCAAAACCAGCAGGCTCAGATGGTGAGCGGCGGGGGGTAAAGAGACAGCGGGATGAGAAGGATGAACATGGCCGAGCTTACTATGAATTCCGAGAGGAGGCTTACCACAGCCGGTGAGGGAAACAGTCCCTTCCCTTGGAGGGAGTGTCTGCGCTGATCTTGGTGTACCTGGTGTTGATTGGAGAGTCTGGAAAGGGGTGGATTAAAAATGGAATAGGTTTTATAGGCATAAGTTTTAGATCGAATCTACTCTGAAAGCTCCTGTTGCCCTTTTCTCGTTTACTGAAAGAAGCTGTCTGCTGGAATTTATATTCGCTGTAGTTTAAAACAGACAATGTCCTGCAGACACCTCTCTAAGCGAGGGCTTTGGTTACATTGTATCTGCTTTTCTCTTACTTGTGTAGCTCAAAGTCCCCACCGCCCCCTGAAGAAGAGGCAAAAGAGGAGGAGGAAGACCAAACTCTTGTGAACCTGGACACGTGTATGTATAAGGCAGACAGGTTGGGGTTTGAACCAATCAGAAGTGATTTTGGAGATTAAAATTTCATGGCCTGCAAATTTTAAGAGATTTAGCACATGAGAGATTTTGTATCCATTCTTGACAACTGAGTATACTTGTGTGCTATTGGTGGCACATAAGTATTAATGGATTGCTTCTTTCTTAACAGATACCTCTGATCTCCATTTTCAAGTGAGCAAAGACGGCTATGGAGGGCAGCCACTTTTCTCAGAGAAGTTCCCTACCCTGTGGTCTGGGGCAAGGAGTACTTATGGAGTGACAAAGGGGAAAGTCTGCTTTGAGGCCAAGGTAGTATGTACAGCTCATTAAGACCGTTCATTTATTAAATTATTGATTAAACTACTATGTACTGGACTCCTGCCCACCAGTATTTCATTAGTGCAGAAAAAGGTACCACACACTTCAATGATAGCCTTAGCTCCAGTAATCAAGAAATTGTTTCTTCCCAGGGCTTTGGTTTAAGTTCATTGGCAGTTGTTATTCTGATGCTAAGTTGTGATAGTTGTCATTTTAGTTTGTATAAAAATCTTGTCTTGCTCTGGTCTTATTGCTCAGTTGGTTGGAGTGTCATCCTGTACACAAGGGTTGTAGGTTTGATTTCTAGTCAGGGCACATACCTAGGTTGACTCCTGGTCAGAGTACATATGGGAGGTGACTGATTGATGTTTCTCTCTCTCTCCCTTCCTCTTTCTCTAAACTCAATAAAAACATATCTTTGGGTGAGGATTAAAGAAATAAATATCTTGTTTTTTAAGAAACTTTGCTTCTGAGTTGGCCAGAGTATCTGAGAGGTTTTTTTCTGACCTGGCCAGGTAACCCAGAATCTCCCAATGAAAGAAGGCTGCACAGAGGTTTCTCTCCTTCGAGTCGGATGGTCTGTTGATTTTTCCCATCCACAGCTTGGTAACGTTACTTTAACTTCATCATTAATCTTTGCTACCATTATTGCTTACTCATGGGAAGTTTGGGTGTAGGTAACTAATTTGTTCACTATTCTAGGTGAGGATGAATTCTCTTACGGTTTTGATGGACGAGGACTCAAGGCAGAGAATGGGCAATTTGAGGAATTTGGCCAGACTTTTGGGGAGAATGATGTCATTGGCTGCTTTGCTGTAAGTGCTCCTGAAAGTTGTGGATGCACAGCAGGAAGAGGGTAGAGGACATTGGGAATTCAGTTCCCTTCCCATTAGTTGCTGTATTTTATGTATTTGAAGCATTGCTTAAAGATTAAATTGTAAGATTCAAGCAACCTCAAACCCTATAAGCCCATAAGTGCTCTTGTCTTTTGTCATTGTAGAATTTTGAGACTGAAGAAGTAGAACTTTCCTTTTCTAAGAATGGAGAAGACCTTGGTGTGGCATTCCGGATCAACAAGGAATCCCTGGCAGACCGGGCGCTCCTACCCCATGTCCTCTGCAAAAATTGTGTTGTAGAATTGAATTTTGGTCAGAAGGAGGAGCCCTTCTTCCCACCACCAGAAGAGTTTGTGTTCATCCATGCTGTGCCTGTTGAGGAGCGTGTGCGCACTGCAGTCCCACCTAAGACCATGGAGGAGTGTGAGGTATGCAGCACAGTGCAAAAGGCTTGGTGCTCCTGCTGTAGAGTGATTGGGGAGGGGGGGGGGTAGCTTTTCTTCTCAAAGTTCTACTGAACTGGGGCAAGGGAGGGTATTATTAAAGTGGGCTTTTAAACATGACCCTTGCTTATTTTTTATGGTATTCCTGGTTTTGTTTGCAGGTGATTCTGATGGTGGGACTGCCCGGATCTGGAAAGACTCAGTGGGCACTGAAATACTCAAAAGAAAACCCTGAGAAAAGATACAATGTCCTGGGAGCTGAGACTGTCCTCAATCAAATGAGGGTGAGTTGCTGGGGGAGATTAGTCAACTGGGTAATTGCTCTGGGGGTATCAAGATATTCCTGTAACCTTTCCCAGTGGAGTTAGTCTTTCAAGTGTCTGACAACACAAATAGAGAAATGAATTCATCTCAGTACATGTTAAAGGGAGGGCTTTTTTTCTTCTTCTTTGCTGTGTTGTCATATTTCTGAAAGATGATAAAATCTGGAATATATTCAGATTAAGACTAGAAGTGACTCCTGCATAAAGTGGACAACATTCATGGCACTGAGGAATAGGAATGAACTGATGTGTCAGTGTTGGTGGCATTAAAGAAGTAACAGTTACCTATGACTCAGGCTTTAACTTGCTGTATAACTTCTTGCGTTTCTCTTCCTTTCCTCTCAAACTCATCAGATGAAGGGGCTTGAGGAGCCAGAAATGGACCCCAAAAGCCGAGACCTTTTAGTTCAGCAAGCCTCCCAGTGCCTTAGCAAACTGGTCCAGATTGCTTCCCGGACAAAGAGGAACTTCATTCTTGATCAGGTATTTTTCAGACATTCAGAAGCAATCTCACTTTACAGAAAATCCAAAGATGAAAATTTTGGCATCCATTTAATCTGATACAATTGCTCAGAGTTAAAGTGGGGTGCATTTGTAGAAAGATACTGAGTTAAGGAACAGAATCAGTTTACTTAATTATGACCAAAAGGTTGTATGTTGTAGTTGTAACATCTTTTGAACTCAGAGATGTGGGTGTTCTGTTTGTGCTCTACCAGAGAGCCTGTGAGCCCAGACTAGAAAGCACGTCCTCAAGGCCAGGGAGAGGGCGTTAGAGCTCCTTTGGGTTCCTGGCTCCCCCACTTGCTAGGTTTGTTACCTTCTTTGGACAAGTCTTGGCCTCAATGAGTCTCGATTTCCTGATGTGCAAAACCCAATAATATCTGTCATGTAGAGTTTAAAGAATCAAAGGAGATTGTATGTATAAGACTCCTAATCTGGTGCCTCATTTGTAAAGGATGCTCAATAAGTGTTTTTGTTGAATTTGATGATTTTTATTCCTAAAACATCTGTTATTCCTCTTGTCCCTAGTGTAACGTGTACAACTCTGGCCAACGGCGGAAACTGTTGCTGTTTAAGACGTTCTCTCGGAAAGTGGTGGTGGTTGTCCCTAGCGAGGAGGATTGGAAGCAGAGGCTGGAGTGGAGGAAGGAAGTGGAGGGCGATGATGTGCCTGAGTCCATCATGCTGGAGATGAAAGGTGGGCGGAAACTGTACAAGTCAGGCACCTGGCCTCGGTCAGCACACACCTCACTAGGGCTCTCAGCCCCTGGAGGGATTCTCCACACCTAACGTGTCACCCTGGAGAGTAAATTAATGGATGTGAGCGCTTGTAGGTAAACGAAGAAGCAGAGTGGAAGGAGAAGCACTAACTCCTTGGTCATTCTGGATAAGATGCAATAGTGATTGACCTCAGGGTAATTAAAACTCAAGGCGGAGGCTTCATTGAGTCAGTTACTCATGCAGTCAGTACTTAAACTATCTACTTGCCTAGCACTATTCTACATGTAGGGCAATTGTGAATGAAAGGAAGCTCTGCTTTATTAAATTTATATTCTGGAGGGGGGGGTATTATGATTCAAATTAAAATATAGTGGTTGGATTGAATGATCTCATCATCATGTCTTGATTTCTGATAACACATCAGGCTTGCTTATTTTGGTTTCTGGTAGGAGCCTGAAATCTTTAATGCAATACAAAGCTTAATAGCAAAGTCCCTGTGAGGCGGGATTACCTGTCCTGATTGATCTCACTTCCTGCTGTTCCCTTCAGGGTGTGATTTTTAACACCCAGGGATGGAGCCGGTTGCACATCTAAGAGCCAGACTGTCCGAGTTTAGAAAAAAAGAACTATGCAGTCCTAACTGATAGGCGGTTGGAGGAATGTAGTTCAAGAGGGTTCACTGGATTCATCTAAGAATTAAGAGAGCCCCCCAGTGAACTGCATTCCACTGGGACTCAGCCTCTGAACTTGTATTTCTTAGCGTCTTATCTAACCAACACCAAAACTTTCTCAGTTACTTTTCGCCTCTGGCTACCTGCTTCTGTCCTGATAAGAAACCTTAACCCAGTGGACTCCCTAATTTATTATGGATCACTTGAGAACTTGTACATCTACCACTTACAGTAGCCCTTTGCTTGTGGCTGTTACAATTTAGGGAAAACCTATGATAGATAAAGTACCAGCACTTTTTTTTGTGCATTAGTAGAGGAGCTTAGGAACTCTGTTCTTCTGTAATAGTTTTTATAATGAGCTCTTACCCATCTGCACTTTTCAGGCCCACAAGCTTCTCTCTTACTCTTACAGCCAACTTCTCTTTGCCTGAAAAATGCGACTACATGGATGAGGTGACATATGGGGAGCTGGAGAAGGAAGAAGCTCAGCCTCTTGTCACTAAGTACAAGGAGGAGGCCAGGAAGCTGCTGCCCCCCTCTGAGAAACGGACAAACCGCCGGAACAATCGAAACAAGCGCAACCGGCAGAACCGAAGCCGAGGCCAAGGCCAAGGCTATGGTGAGTCCCGGGGCCAGCCAGCCCCTGGCCCCAGTCTGTGCTTTGTGCTGAGCTGGATCCATAAGGAAACCAAGTCAAGTCACTAACGAGGAATAAGGAAGTGACTTCTTTATGGTGCTTATTTCTTCCTGTGTGCTTTAACCCCAGCTTCTTGTGCTTTTTCCATAATCCTTCAGTAAAAGGGAGTTATTTTTCAACACGAATATTTGCTTCTGTGAAAAGCAATGCTTGAGCCTTCTCATTTGTCTAGTTTTCACTTATATGTGTAGGTTTCCCACTTCACTGTTGCAGCTTATCTAAAGGATTTGTGCAGTGAAATTGGATTCTCACTTTGTTTTCTTAATGCTCTATCCAGTGGGTCAGCCCCACCATACAGACCACAAGTGAATGCACTATGCAGTAATTTGGGGGGTTACAAAGTAATTTAGGCTACTAGTGGAATTAATATCCATCTTGAATGTCTAGCTTGTCAGTTAACTTTCCACTGTGCATTCACTGCCCTTTAAAAATGTGTGTGTGTGTGTGTGTGTGTGTGTGTGTGTGTGTGTGTTTGCAAGTAAGTCAACAAAACGTTTGCATGCCTGTTACATGCTAGGCACTGGGAATACCAACAGTGCCTACCCTGGAGGAGTTTGTCACTGAGACTTTGTTCCGTCTGTATAAGGTGATGGGTGGGGGTTATATGACCTCTGAGATCCCTTCCAGGATTGAAAGTCAGTGGTTCTGTGAATGGCAGTATTTACTGATGTTTCTTATTCTGCCAAGTATTTTTTTATCATCTTAAATATCTTGCAGAAATTGGGGAGCTTCAAAAGCAAGGTGGCTTGGTTTTCTTGTGTCGCTATTCCTCTGCCTTTCCCCCTCAGACTTTCTAAAAGATCCTGGCTAGTGCTTTAATTAACATTGTGTGAGCCTGACAGAAGCAGGCCTCCTATTCTCCCAGAATTGCCTTGGGCTCCAACTTTTTGATTTCCACTCAGCCATGGAGCCAGGACCCCACGCCAGCTGTCTGAGCGCGCTCTCCCATTTCTCTTCCAGTGGGCGGGCAGCGCCGAGGCTACGACAACCGGGCCTACGGGCAGCAGTACTGGGGGCAGTCTGGAAACAGAGGGGTGAGTGCAGCTCTCCTTCTGCTCCTCCTCTGGGCCGTGCTAGCACTCCTATTGGCTTGGGGGAGCAGAGTGATTTGGGCTGTTTTCTCAGGGCTTAGCTTGTGCCCATTTAATGTGTTCCTCTGGAAGGATTTATCCTGGGAAGATTAAGTCTGTTACAAAATCAAGCTGAGATGTGTTTCATTTAAGATGGGGGATAGCAGTGGATCGTGATACTGGAAACCCATAAATCTTCACTCCTCTTTCTCCTTTCTCAGGGTTATCGTAATTTCTACGATCGATACCGGGGAGATTATGATCGCTTCTATAGTCGAGATTATGAGTACAACAGATACAGAGACTATTACAGACAGTACAATCGGGATGTAAGTATCTTCTGGGGATAGAGAGGGTGAAGGGGGGGCAGGACCAGGGGCTGAGTGTCATGCCTCTCGGTCCTCAGCCAGCTGTGGCCTCAGGTGACGGGGTTCCCCTCTCTTCTAGTGGCAGAATTACTACTACCACCACCCCCAGGACAGAGACCGATACTACAGGAACTACTACGGTTACCAAGGGTATCGGTGAAGCCTCTGCCCTTGTCACCTGTCAGCCATGAAGCTGAATCTCTGGGGGTGCCAGCCATCCCCAAAAACACAACCAAGGAAAACAGGGGCTGTCGGGGTGGGGCTGAGCTGCCGGGGAGGGGTGGTGGGAGGGAGGGTGCGCAAGC